GAGTTTGAGCTTCAGTGTAGCTAACAATGACTAAGCTTTTCTTGTGGCATCCTCTTGATCATGTCTGATCTTCTGTGACCCTGTCTTCCATGTGTACCCATGTCTCAGAATAAAAGCTTTAACAAAATTTGTACTCCTGTTTTATGTTCAGCTTTTGTTTTTTGAAGCTGCCTTATTGTAGTTTATTTGGGAATAGAGTCCCTGCAACGTGGTAGTAGCAAATACCCATGCTATGAGAACACTAAACTAGAAACAAGATCTGCCTCTCAGTGCCAGGGATCAAACAATTACACATCAGGCAGGCAGTTAGGCCATGAGCTGTACCCCTGGCCCAAGATCTGCCTTATGTTTTAGGGAGGTCTGCCTAAGTTTTTTATAAAGATAAAAGTTTTTGGACCAGAGAAAACCAAAGAATTTAGCCCTTAGGTTGCTGGATAAGTGTTGCATTAGACTGGAAGGGTCAGACCTTGTAGCACTTGGTGCAGCGGGATATTTAAGTGGGGTTATGTTTTAAGGAGCTTAACATGAACTGGTTTTTCTCTCTTAAGTTGCTACTTGAACATGTGAAGACTCAGTTTAGCTCCCAGCAGCCCAAAAAGGTGCAAGCCAGGCATGTTGGCACATCTGTAGTCCTGCGCTTGTGATGCTCAGGCAGGATCAGTTTTGCAGCCAGCCTGAGATGCGTCGCAAGCTGAAGACCCGCCAGAACTGCGTCTGGAGACCCTGTCTGCTGGGAGCAAGTAGTAGGCTTAGGCAGGAGAAAGTGAGGGCTTCAGATGCTGAAAGCACAGTCAGAAGCCAACTTTCTAGTCCATAAAAGCTTTGCAGAAAGGTTTTCTGATTTGGCTGAGCGTTCAGATAGACTAGTAGGTGATGTTGCAGACCTGGCACGGCAGTGTGGATATTACCAAAGGTCTCTGGGGACCGTTGAGAAGATGTGGTCTGTTGAACTCACTGCAAGATTGAGAACCCTCCATACCCACATACACACAAGAAAAGGGAGAATTAGACCAGAGCCTGGGAAGCAGCAACATAGGCAAGTGTATTTGCTAGGAAGTTTCTTTGTGGTCAAAAATCAGGAAAATATGGGCTGGCCAGATAGCTCAGTGCGCTAAAGTGCCTGCTTAGGCAGACACAAGAACTGGGGCTTTGTGGCCCCGCCCCTTGGGTGTGCTGAGAGGGCCACTGAGACTGGGCATGTTGGCAGGTGCCTGTGATCCCAGCACTTCGGAGGCTGAAAAGCAGGATTGTTATGAGTCCAAATCTGTAGTGAGACCCTGCACCCCTGTGTTAAATACATTAAAAAAATTAAAAAAAAAAAAAAAAAAAAAAAAAAAAAAAAACAGTAAATACAGAAGAAAAAAATCAGGAAAATGCACTGTTGTGGTGATGCATGCCTGTAACTCCAGCACTCAGCATGCTGAGATAGGGTCCCTATGAATTTGAAGCTACTCTAGGCTATACAGTTCAATGCCATGCTTAGCTACATAGCAAGACCCTGCCCCCCCCCCAAAAAAAAAAAGATTACTGTCAAAATGAGGTACAGAAGGCTGCATCAAAATTGCTCATTCTAGGGGCTGGGGAGATGGCTCAGTAGAATAAGCACTTGCCTGGTCAGCGCAAGGGCCTGAGTTCAATCCTCTAAGTGCCTGTCTGGCAAGCACAAGGACTCAGGTTCAATCCATAGTACACATGCCATGCCACCCTGAAACCAGGCATGGTGGTGAAATCCTGTAACCCTAGTGCTGGGAAGGCTGAGAGAAGAGGATCACTACAAGTCCAAGCTGTGTAGTAAGATCCTGTACCAAATAAGTCCTCAGAAAAATTGTTCATTCATTGGGCCAGCGAGATGGTTCACTAGAATAAACACTTGCCTGGCAAGTGCAAGGGCCTGAGTTCAATCCCCAGTTCCACAAAAAAAAAAAAAAAAAAAAAGGAAAGAAATTGCTCATTCATATGCCTGGCAAGTTAACACTGTTGTGGGAGTGGCCCTCTTCCACTTTGGGTAGTGTGTGAGAATCCCCAGATACATCAGCAAGCCTTCTCCAGAGTGGTGCAGGAGCGCAAGTGGGAAGCCACAATGTCTTAGGACCAAACCTTGAAAGTCATTCCTGCAGTATACTATGTATTACATATGTCCATCAGGTTGTTGTTGTTGTTGTTGTTGTTTTGTAACTGGGGATCAAACTTGAGACCTTGGTCTTCCTAGGCAAGTGCTTATGCCACTGAGCTATCTCCCCAACCCTCCCTCAGTCTTAAAATGGGAGGAAACTGCACAATAATAGGTGAGCGAAGTACAGTGGCCCATCCCCGTGACACCAGCGGCTGGGAGGTGGGGCCAGGAGGGTCAGCCTGAGCAGCTGAGCAGGGTCCTGTTCCAAAAAAAGAGTCATCGGAAGTTACACACAAGAAACCCTAAGGCAGAGCCAGTCTGGTTCTCCTCCCTTTCACTCTTTTTCCCTATTTTCTTACTTTCTGACTAATAAATTGTCTGTGTCCCCACAAAAACAAAGCAAGGACTGGGAAGATAGCTCAAGTGCCCGCCTGGCAATTACAAGGCTGTGGATTTGATTCCCAGTTGGGTTTTTTTGTTTGTTTGTGTTTAAAAAAAAAACTAAGGTATTGATAGTGAATTTGTTTTTTGCAGTACCAGTGGCTGAACCCAGGAAATACTGGACTATATCCCCAGTCCTTTTTTAAAATTTTGACACAGGGTCTCCCTAAATGGCCCAGGCTGACAAATTTGAAAGCCTCTTAGCCTCTTGGCCTCTTACAGATAAAGCAGCTGGGATTGGTTCTAAGCATGTACCATCATGAATAAGATTTAGTGTGCACTTGGTATAAAACAATATCATACACCTGTTTGTTTGAGGCAGTCTTGCTATGTAGTTCAAACTGGCTTTGAACTCACTATGTAGCCCAAGTTGGCCTTGAACTCATGGCAGTCCTCTTGCCTCAGCCTCTCCAGTCCTGAGACCACCAGTCCCAGCTTCACAGTTGTATCATTTTTTTTAATTTTTTAAAATATTTATATATTTATTTATTGCGTGTGTGGGTGTGTGTGGCCAGCTCAGCCCACCAGGGGGGCGGGGCTGGCTGGCATGTGGTACTGGGGGATTGAACCGCGGTTCCTCTGTTTTTGCTTAGCTTAGCTTGTACTAAGTAGGTACTTTAGACCACTGAGCCATCTCACCAGCCCCAGTTATATCACTTTTAACCTATATGCTTGAAGCATTTTATTTTGTGTGGGAGGCTCAATTACTCCAGGCCTCCAATCCTACTGCAGGTGGGTTTCCGGCTTCCTCTTCCCCTACCTCTGCTGAGCTAAGCTCCTAATTCTTCTTACCCCGCCTATTTCCCATAAGTCTCCTGCTATGCCCTGGAGGTGGGACTTCCTGTCACAACCCGGTTGCCTAGTTACTCGCGCCTTTTACCCGCTTACGTCATTTCCCTGCGACTCCACTATATATACCCAGCACCTCCCCTGAGTAAACGAGACTTGATCAGAATCCTGTCTTGTCTCCTTTTCTCGCGTCTCCTGTCCTTTGTCCCCTCCTCAGTTCCCCGCTCCTCCGCCGGGTCACCTTCGTTGACTGACCCGCTGGCTCGGGACAAGTGGCGCCCAGCGAGTGGGACACCTGGTATGGAGGATTCAGCGACGGAACGGTCGGAGAGAGCCGGCAAGAGAGAAAGTAAAAGAGGCCCGCGCCGGCCGCAGGTGGCTGCTGCGACGTCTGAACCTCGAGAAAAAAAAAAAAAAGGGTGACAATATACTACAGGGACAAAAAGGTAATACTCATCTTAAAGGACAAAGAACCCCCTAAGGGTGTGTGCCCTCGTGTAAGGGAACAGAATCTTGAAATCTGGAGATGTTGTTTTCCCCTCCCAATCCTATCCAACTCCTGGCAAATTCCTTAATGCCTGCAGATGGCACTACTGACAAGAAGTTCTCTGTCCAGGACAGTTAAACTGATTTGTGAACTCTGCCCTTGCTATCACCTTGGAGCTAAGATTAAAAGATGCAGACAGACAGGAAGTGGCTGACCTTCCACCCCCAGCGTTGTCGCTTTTTGTTCTGATAATCATTGGAAGCAGCTGGGCCTCCATGA